GAAAGAGAGAGAGAGAGAGAAGGAAGGAAGGAGAAGAAGAAGAAGAAGAGGAAGAGGAGGAGGAGGAGGAAGAAGAAGAAGAGGAAGAGGAGGAGGAGAGGAGGGAGGGAGGGAGGGAGGGAGGGAAAGAGGGAGGGAGAGGAGGAGATCTTCCATCCACTGGTTCACTCTCCAAATGCCTGTAACATCAGGGGCTGGGCCAGACCAAAGCAGGAGCCTGGAACTCAATCCAGGTTTCCCATGTGGGTGGCAGGAACCCAAGTACTTGCGCCATAATCTGCCCCCTAGCTGCATTATCAGCAAGCTGGATTGCAAGCATAGAGCAGCCTGGATTCAAACCAGACATGCTGACACAGTGTGTGGGTGTCCCAGGTGGTGGTGTAACCCACTGTGCCACAACCTGCTGTACAGGCAGCATCTTAACCATGACCCCAAACACCTGCTCCTTGACTGGTTATTCTTATCAAAATGGGATCGGTACTGAAATTGAATGTAAGTCACCGTTAATTACTATCAGCAGTATATTTAAGAATATGATGTGTAATTTAAAGCAAGGCTTAAGAAATGTCAATGACTTGATGCACATAGTCTTTCCCTTCCTCCCTCCCTCCCTCCCTCTGCCGCCTCCTCCTTCTCTTCCTCTTCTTCTCCTTCTCCTTCTCCTCCTCCTCCTCCTCCTCCTCTTTTTCTTTTTCTTTTTCTTTTTCTTTTTCTTTTTCTTCTCTCTCCCTCTCCATCTCCCTCTCTCTGTCTCAGATAATAGGTCCCTGGGGCCAGCAATGTGGCTTAGCATGTAAGGCTGCCTGTTCGAGTCCTGGCCGCTTGTTCAAAGTAGACCTTGGACACCCTGGGGGTGGACTTGACAGTCCCTGAGACTTGTGAATTTGGTTTTGCACTTCTGCCCCTAATCTGACCACCTTTCACTACCTCCCCTTTCCCAAGCCACCAGCAGAGATTGTTAGGTAGCTGACCCCTTGCTTGGCCAGCAGGCATCTCCGCACAGCAGGGTCCTGTTAAAGCTTACCGCATATCGTGTGCTCACACCCTCCACTGGAGCCAGGGCCCGAGTCCTCGCCGCGGCCTCCCAGCCTTGCTCAGCCGCCCTGTGCTGCCCTGAGCTCAGCTCTGCCGCTCCTGTTGCTCACCTGGTTGCGGCACCCCTGGCCTCCTTGCTGTTCTTCCAAGCTCATCCCTACCTCGGGGCTCTCGCACTTGAATTCCCTCGGGAAGGCTCTTCCCTCCCCAGCCCCTTTCAGGTTTCTGCTCGGTTGTCATCTTCTCCAAGAGGCTCTTCTTGACTGCTCTGTATAAAAGATCACCTTCCTAAAATGAAAGATGAGCCTCCTTCGCTCTTAATCCCTATGTGTGTGTGTAATTTTTTCAGATGTTGTGTCGCCCAACATGGGTTAGATTTTATTGCTCTTCCCACGCTAGACCACAACTTCGTGAACACAGTGACTTTGCTCCGCTCCCTGCTGTATCCTTAGAGCCAAGGCGAGTGCCAGGCCAGAGTAGGCATCAGTACTGTTGGTTGGATTGGATGAAGGAGCAAATGAAGGAATGAGCTGAGTTTCAGCGCTAAGCATTTTTGGATCAAGAGCCACATCTTCTGGTTTCCTACCGCAGGCGTGTTGAAGTCGTTCCCATGGCAGATCTGAGGCACAGGGTGGCTCAGAATTACTTTTTGACTGGTGCCGCGGCTCACTAGGCTAATCCTCTGCCTGCGGCGCAGGCACACCAGGTTCTAGTCCTGGTCGGGGAGCCAGATTCTGTCCCGGTTGCCCCTCTTCCAGGCCAGCTCTCTGCTGTGGCCCGGGAGTGCAGTGGAGGATGGCCCAAGTGCTTGGGCCCTGCACCCCATGGGAGACCAGGAGAAGCACCTGGCTCCTGCCATCGGATCAGCGCGGTGCGCCGGCCGCAGCGCGCCAGCTGTGGCGGCCATTGGAGGGTGAACCAAGGGCAAAGGAAGACCTTTCTCTCTGTCTCTCTCTCTCACTGTCCACTCTGCCTGTCAAAAAAAAAAAAATTACTTTTCAGTGTGTATGTGGGTACTTCAAAAAGTTCATGGAAAAACAGTTAAAGGATTTTTTTTTTTGGTGTAAAAAACTTTTGAGGGGTGGGCTTAAGCCAGGTTTTGGGACATTGGCCTCCCACATTGGAGTGCCTGGGTTCAAGCCCTGGCTCTCCTCCGAGTGCTGTCTTCCTGCTAATGTACACCCTGGGAAGCAGCAGGTGATCACTCAAGTGCTTGGGCACCTGCTACACATATGGGAGACCTGGATTGAGTTCCAGATTCCTGGCTTTGGGCTGGCCCATCTCTAGCTGTGGTGGGCATTTGGGGAATGAACCAGTTGGATGGGAGTTCTTTTTCTGTCTCTTTCTCTCTGTCTTTCAAATAAACATGGGAAAAAATGGGGGGAGCAAACTATTTATCTGTTAAGATTTCCTGTTGAAATATATGACTAGTTTTTTCATAATGTGCATTTTTGATGAATTTTTTGAAAAAATGATTTATATATTTATTTGAAAGTTAGAGTTACAGAGAGAGAGAGAGCCAGAGATACACAGAGAAGTCTTCCGTCTGCTGGTTCATTCCCCAAATGCCTGCAACAGTCAGAGCTAAGCCAGGCCAAAGCTAGGAGCCAGGAGCTTCATCCAGGTCTTACATGTGGGTAGCGGGGCCCAAGCACTTGGCCCATCTTCCATTGCTTTTCCCAGGCACATTAGCAGGGAGCTGGATCAGAAGTGGAGCAGTGGACAGGAACCAGCACTCATGTAGTTTGTTAGTGTCGCAGGTGGAAATTTTACCTGCTGTGCTACAATGCCGTCCCTTTCCATGAACTTTTTGAAGAAACCTTTTATGCATGGATTTCAAGGATTTTTATTCCAGAATAAACTTATTTTTAATTCCGTGTTCCATAAACTTCTATTTTTAAAAAAGATTTATTAATTTATTTGAAAGTCAGAGTTACACACAGAGAGAAGGAGAGAGAGAGATAGATAGATAGAGAGAGATCTTCCATCCGCTGGTTCACTCCCCAGATGGCCGCAACGGCCAGAGCTGTGCTGATCCGAAGCCAGGAGCCAGGAGTCTCTTCTTGGTCTCCCACGTGGGGGCAGGGGCCCAAGGACTGGGGCCATCTTCCACTGCTTTCCCAGGCCATAGCAGAAAGCTGGATTGGAAGTGGAGCAGCTGGGACTCAAACCGGCACCGATATGGGATGCTGGCATGGCAGGTGGCAGCTTTACCTGCTATGCCACAGCACTGGCCCCCACAGACTTTGGAAGTCCCCTTGTAGTTCCACATCATCACTTTCTTGGAGGCCTTTGCTTTTCCTTCACTTCCTCTTCAGTTCATCACCAGCATGAATGCCGGGACTTACCCAGGGCCACTTCTCACAGGGTTTCATCACTTCTCGGGGGCAGTTGGAGAGGTGTAAGGATCAGCTGGGATGTGCTGGGTGGTCGGTTTTGCTCATTCAGTGGCTAAGTGGTTGACTCACCTTCAACACTCCACCAGTTCTGATATGCATGTGGTCTAAGTTCATTAGCCAAGGCAGTGCCAGGTACTCTCATGCCATAGTCTCAGAGGACAGTCTACAGGTGATCAGTGTTGACTTCATGGAGGGACATCACCCCAGGGAGTCACAGCTCAACCCCTGCCTAACCTTGGTATCTTCTAGGCTTCCGTGGCTCTGTCCTATCCTGAAGTTCGCTTTGTTCACTCCTAACTCCAGAATCTCAGCCTTTGGGCTTCTGTCAAAGGCTCAGGCCCTCTCCAGGAGGGGAGATGTGGCACCCGATGTTAGGTCGAGATCACAAGGTTTGTCCTGCTAGTGCCAGCCCTATACCCTTCCTGCCCTGACTTCTTGTACATAGTGTAGGAAGGTAGATTAGCATCTCTTTGAAAATCATGTTAAATGGCATGCTTTTCTAAAAAATCAACATGGAGGGGCCAGCGCTGTGGTGCAGTGGGTTAACACCCTGGCCTGAAGTGCCAGCATCACATATGGGCACCGATTCGAGACTCGGCTGCTCCACTTCAGATCCAGCTCTCTGCTATGGCCTGGGAAAGCAGTAGAAGATGGCCCAAGTTCTTGGGCCCCTGCACTCACGTGGGAGCCCCGGAAGAAGCTCCTGGCTCCTGGCTTTGGATCGGTGCAGCTCTGGCTGTTGCGGCCAATTGGGGAGTGAACCAGCGGATGGAAGACCTCTCTCTCTCTGCCTCTCCTCTCTCTGTGTAACTTTGATTTTAAAATAAATAAATAAATCTAAAAAAAAAACCAACATGGAGCGATCTTTTTTATTTTTAATGTTTATTTGAAATGCGGGGCGGGGTTGGGGGGGGAGAGAGAGAGAAAGAGAAAGAAAGGTGAGAGACAGAAAAATCTTCCTTCCATTTGCTGGTTCACTCCCCAAATGGCTGCAGCAGGCAGGGCTGGGCCAGGCTGAAGCCAAGAGCCAGGGGCTTCATCCAGGTCTCCCATGTGGATGCAGGAACCCAAGTTCTTGAGCTATCCTCTGCGGCCTTCCCAGGCACATAATCAGGGATCTAGATTGGAAGTGGAGCAGCCAGGACTCCAACCAGCACTCATATGGGATGCTGACACTGCATGCAATAGCTAAGGCCACCACAGCACATCGCTGGCCCCTGCCTTCATATCTTTGTCTGTCTTAACATTCATTCTCTCTCTTTGTAATTCTATTTTCATCAGAATCTGTTTTTTTTTAGATTTATGATTAATTTGTGAGTCTTTTTAAACAAATGATTATTTACTTGAAAGGCAGAGAGAGAGAAAAGGAGGAGAGACAGAGATATCTTCCGTTGACTGGTTCATTCCTAGTATGGCCGTAACAGCCAGTGCTGGGCCAGGCTGCAGCTAGGAGCCCAGAACTCCACCTTGGCCTCCCACATGGGTGGCAGAGGTCCAAACATTTGGGTTATCCTCCAGTGCCTTCCCAGGTGTATTAGCACAAAGCTGAATAGGAAGTGAAGTAGCCAGGACTCTGGCATTCTGATGTGGGATGTGACGTTGCGAGTGCTGGCTTCACCTGCTGTGTCACAACGTTGGCCCCATTTGTGAGTTCTTTAATGTTGTTTGGGTCTCAGTTTGTTTCTTTGGGTCGCTTTTTGTCATGTTTCGTCATCTCATCTTTGAAGTTTTATGTTCTGAAGTCCTATTCCTACTCTGTAGTTGTAGAGCCCTGAGCAGTCATGTGGCATTTTCTTCCAGTGTCGGCATTAGGTTTCCTTCTAGATTGGATGCTTTGTCCTTGGAATACTTTCCTTTTGAGCTTGTGCTTGCGTAGTTGACATCTGTTTCTTGTGCTTGGACATTTCTACCCAAGTTCTCTTTTGCTGTTAAGTAATATGACTTTTGGACTAATTTCTCAGTGTCTCTGACACAGCTGAGCCCTGGATTGAGGTCTGGGTATTTTGAGTTCTGAACAATTCCCCTTTAACCTGGGGTCATGGTGGTATGAAGGCAGAAAGTGGGAAAGCTCATTGGGGCAGCTTATTTCTGAGATTTTGTCCATACATTACCCTAAGCTTACATATCCCGGGAGAATGGGGCGGAGTTAACACCCATTGCCCTGAGCCTTACTGGTGAGGGGCACAGCATGAGGAATCCCACCCAGCGTCCTGAAACAAACCAGTGAAGGTGCTGGAGCAAGCCCTGTGGGGCAGTTGGAGGCTGAGCCAGGCTGGCAACAGAGGGAGAAAGACGTGGTCCCCACAGCCTGGAGCTTCCTTGGTCTCCTTACTGGCCACCATGAGAGCAGGTGGGTGGGGCCAGAGAGGGACAGGCATCTCCATGGCTGCCTAGGACTGCGTCCCAGGATTGGGACCCTGCAGTGGAGGATCTAGAAGACTCTGAGCAGGTGGCTAGAGTCCAGTTCTACACGAGGTCAGGTTGCCAGGGACCATTTGTTGACGTTTCTAGGGAGGAATGAGGAGGAATAGGTCCACTGAACATGATGATGCTCGTGTGTTCCATCCAGGATGAGTTCCAAGGCTTCAGAAACACTCTCTTTTGTCTAATTAGTCATTGGGATCGTGTCTCCATGGAGACCATTGTGCCTGGACCCACAATAGACACGCTTGCATCCATTAAAGGGGCACAGTCGCCAGACGTAAGCTGTGGGCCCAGGGTGGAGGGGCCGCAGAGGTTGCCGGCAAAGTGTCAGAAGATGAGCAAAGGCTGTCCGTCTCCAGGAAGAGAGACACTGTCCCTGGCACCAGTCCTGGCACCAGAGGGGAAAGTGAAACTGCAGAAGTGAGTGCTCACATGCACGGTGAAAGCCACAGAGGGACAGATTCATTCTTTTTTTTAAATTTTATAGATTTTTTTTTAAATTGTATTTCATTTTACTTAAAAGGGAAAGAGGGAAGGAGTTAGAGTGATGTCTTCTATCCATTGATTCACTCCCCAAAGGCCCACAACAGCCAGGTGGGGTCAGCCAGGAGCCGGGAACTCCATCTGGGTCTCCCATGTGAGTATCAGGGACCCAGGTACTTGAGCCATCACCTGTGCCTCCCAGGGTGAGTGTCAGCTGGGGGAACTGGGAGTAGAGCCAGGACTCAAAGCCAGGCGCTCGGATATGGGATGTGGGCGTTCCCAGCGGCTTCTGAAACTACTGTTCTCAACATCCTTCTCTCACCTTCTTTTTCATTTGAACATGTGTCAAAGATTTTTGAAACTCATTAATTAATGAAGGAATCAGTCAGGTGTTAAAACTGGTTTGGAGCAGAATCCCAGGAGCAGATGTGAATGTTGGTCATCAAGAATGTGGGAGTGGGCTGCCTAACAGATTCGCAATTGGCTCTTCCAAGAGGGTGAGGGAGGTGGAGAGAGATTCAGCTTTTCATGGCAAAATACACTGAGAGCCCAGAAGTAGTCAGTGGAGGAAGTGAGGGCTGGACAGGCGAGGGGGTGGGGGACCCGGATGGGGCAGGAGGCTGCCAGGGAGACAAGGTTCTGCCCTGCTTCTGCTGAGTGTCCCCAGTATCCTGCACGGCCCCCACCTGTGGGAGGTGCCCCTCAGAGCTGGGGGAGGCAGGATGAGAGGGGACCTCCCAGGAAAGGGCAGTTGGAGCAAACAGACCGACTTTGAAGGGCCAGCGTGCAGGACACTGGCTCTGCCATGGGGCGAGGGACCATCCCACTCAGTGACACTCCAGCTCACTCGTCTGCCTCAGAGCTGGGAGCTGCAAAGGGTCTTTGTGTGTCTGTTGGCTCCTTTGTCTGATGGGGCTGCAGAAGTGATCCAAGCCCAGCCTGTTGGCCACTGGCTGGCAGCTGAGCTCCAGAAAGGCTGCAGAACGGGGCCCACGGACCCCCACCCGATACGGGGACAATGGACTTGAGTGGCACTCGCCTGCTATAGACTCGTCTCCCACCTGGACTCTGGAGCAAACCTCACAGATCTCGTCCGTCAGGGGGTGCATTCTCTGGCTTTGCACATAATTGTCAACGCCCTAGTACCTTGGGGGGTCAGGAGAACAGGAAGAGTTGTGGGCAGGAAGGAGCAGCTGGAGGTGTGGCAGTGAGGTCGAGGACTGCAGAAGTGGAAGAATGGTTCCAAGAGGTGGACACAGCACCTGGGGCCATCCGATGTCAGAGCACAGAGCTCTCTCCTTGCACGGTCGCAACAGCCTTGAGTCATCAGGGGTACAGGCTGCTGACAACAGCAACGGGAGCTTTGCAGCCATCCGATTCTTGGTTTAATTCTCCACTTGCTGTTTGTGGGGGCTCCAGACATATAATAATGATTTCCCCTTACATGCAGATGGTCATTTGGATAGTTATAGCATCATTCACCGGCCATACAAAATTATCGGCTTAAAAATTAGCCTGCTACAGATTTGTTGAATTTTGAGTCCCGTCTGTGGCCTAATGATACTGAGGGTCTTCTATGGCCCGCAGGCCAGATGGGCCCCTCCCGGCCTAGGATCCTGGGAGGGTTATGTGAGCATTTACAGGGCACGGAGTAGATGCTGGTGAGAGATGAGCTGCTGTTAGCAGAGAGTGAATGATGGTCAGTTACCTGCAGCAACATGGATGCGTCTCAAAAACATGTGAGGAGGGAAAGAAGACGGGCTTGAAGGGGTGCCTACTTGGAGGTTCTTCCAGAGATCATAAACCCAGGCAAAAATGAATGGATGGCATCAGAGGCCAGGATGCCGGGTCCAGTGGGTTGTGGCTCTGAGGGGCTGACCCTTCCTGTGACATGGAATGGAGCCAGCAGGCAGCAGCTTAGTGGGTTGTTACTGTGGGAAGCCGGGCCTGGCCACTGCCTTGCCTCTTCCTCCCGTGGTCACCTCTCGGGCTGGTGTCAGTTCCTTAGAGGGGCTCAGCCCACGGAAAGTCAGGGCGCTGCACACTTAGAATGTGTGCACTTACGCATAGTGTTAGAGGACATTTTATTATGATCGCATGCATATCATGAGTGCTGTTATCAAATTCATGGAGGCTTGAATTGTTCATCTGTGTAATGGGGACAATGACCTCTTTGTGGAATTGTTAAAAGGTACGGTGTTTGCAGCATGTTCATTGGTTGGTTCATTCACCAGATGTGAACAGGGTGCCTACAGGCCTGGGTACTGTTTAGGGGGAGGGCGGAAAGCAGTGGGGCAGTCAAGCAAAGCCCCCAGGGGCTCACCTGCCAGCCAGGGGGAGGGAGACAAGGCAGGCGCCCACAGGGAACTCGGAAATGCTGACGGCGCCTGCTTGTTCAGAAAACAAAATCCTGCAGCATGTCACTGTCCCAAATGGTTGTGTGTGTTGGTTTGTTTAAGTTTGGCTCCTTAAATAACGAGCTTTACTTGTTATGAACACAGTTATAGCAGTGAAGGCTTGTGTAGGCTACACATAGTGCCTTCCATTTCTAGATTTCTGGTGTGAATTGTGAATTTGAGCAAACCATCCTTGGTGAGCTGCAGCACTGAGGACTGAGGGCTGGATGCCCGGTAAGGAAATGCTCTCTCTTCTCAGTCTCTCTCTCTCTCTCTCTCTCTCTCTCTCTCTCTCTCTCTCGCGTTGAGGAGCTTAGGTTTCTAGGCCTTGAAGCCTGCAGGCAGGAAAGCGTTAAGAAAGAAATGTGCATTTCCACTGAACAAGAAAATCAACTTAGAAAAGAAATGTGTATTGGAAAATATCTATTTGCCTGCAAAATAATGTAAAAATAATGAGCTCCTATTCCCCTTTGATGTGCAGTGCACGCTTTTAAGGAAAGATTCTGCATTTCTGAGATACTGGGCCTGGCGGGTAATGAAGTGGTTGTTATGACAACAACTTTCAAAAGCAAGTATTTTCTGAGAGATGTGCTCCACACAGGCAGTGCAAGGGAGGAAAACAAGAAAACAGAGACAGGGAGAGGGGCTAAGCCGAAGGCCCGGGGTGCGGAGAGCAGCTGCTCCGATCCAAGAGGGAGGAATGGGGCCCTGTCTCCGCCTCCCCTACCCTCTCCTGGCTTTGTAAAACTGCAGGGGCAGCCAGGCCCCCACCCAGGAAGGGCTTCAGGGTGATGGAGGCTGAGACATTGTTCTCACCAGGAGGTGCAGGTTGTGGATGGTGACGGGCAGCCTGAGCCTTTGTCCTCAGTGCTGGCCATTGCCCTCTGGTGGGCTGCAGCCTTAGCCTCAGTCTCCTCCCCAGCTCGTGCTTGCAAGCCACTCCCTCCCCGTCCACTTCAGAGCCCCACCGCCTCCAGGGCCTCCTGCTTGCTCCCCCCCACCCCCACCCCAGTGGCTGGGGCTGTGTTCATCACTCCCTTTAACCTTCACAGCAACCCCAACTGCCTAGAACAGTGCCTGGCAAATCTGTAGGTGCCTCAAAGGGCTCGTGGACAAATGGAATTCAGAGAAGTTCATCTGGAGCAGGCAAATCCATGGCCCTGCAGGTTAAGTGGTGCTGGCATCCCATGTCCGAGCACCAGATCGAGTCCTAGCTGCTCCTCTTCAATCCAGCTCCCTGCTAATGCGCCGGGGAAAGCCATGGAAGATGGCCCGAGTACTTGAGCCCCTGCCACCCATGCAGGAGACCCAGACGAAGCTCTTGGCTCCCAGCTTTGGCCTGGCTCAGTCCTGGCTGTTATGGCCATTTAGAGAGTGAAGCAGTGGATGGAAGAGATTCTCTCACTCTTGCCCTGCCTTTCAAATAAATAAATAAATAAATAAATAAATAAATAAATAAATAAATAAGTCTTTTAAAAAGTATATGAAAAAGATAAGCTCATTTTGGTGCAGAAGCTTCTGAGATCCCTGAATTGTCTTTCACAACCTGCGTTGTCCATGAACGTGTTGAAGACCCTCATTGTAATTTCTCAGTCTCTTTGTTGAGTGAACGGATGGTCCTTCCGTGGGAGCCACTGCTGCTGTCCCCATTTCACAGATGAGGGGACTAAAGCCTAGAGAGGCTGGGTGACTTCCCAGGCCACCCCTGACCATGATGTCCTGCAAGGACTGTCTGCGGGGGAGACCCCTGGATGTGCCAGCATCCAGGAACGGGGCCCTAACTACCTTCACGGGAGTCTGGGATGGGAACTGCCAGGAACGGAGCCACTCCAAGGGACCGTGTCTGTCCAGGTCACTCTGCTCCTTCCCATGCAGTGCCTGGTACAAGGGAGGAGCCCAGGAGCCCACGGTCGAATGAAACTTTGGCACTCAGATAGTTCTGGAAAGTCCTGGTGGGTCAGGGGCTGGGTAGATCCTCTGGGCTGTCCCGTCAAAGCTTGCTTGTGATGGAGAAAGTTGCTGGAAGCCAGCCCACGCTCAGGGCTGACGGTGTGGAAAGGAGAGGAGCCTGCGAGGGAGTGATGGGGGTTGCTATTTAAGGCAGCCCAGGGCTCTGGACGCATGTGCATGCGTCGGGAGTGAAGGGGTCGGCTGTGCACAGCTCTGCAGAGATCTGCGCTCTCGAGGGGCACACGCATGGGTGTGCATGTGTGCACATGTTCATGCATGTGCATGGCTTTGCTGTGCAAGGGGCACGTGTTTAGCTGTGCATGCATGTGTCTCCCTGCACGTGTAAGTGAGATATGAGCGTGTGAGGGAGTGTGCTGCATGAGGAGGTTTGTATAAGCAGGTGCATGAGGACTGGGCCTGGGAACGTGGGGGTGCATGCCAGGGAGAGCAGTGGAGGTGTTCTGGGCTCCTACCTTTGTCAGGTAGAGGTGGCCTGCTGGGGGAGATGGGCCATGTTTCAGGTTCGCTGCTGTGTGAGACTTCCTGGCAGCTGTGCTGGCTCCCCTGTGAGGCACAGGAGGACTATGCCAT